CCGGGAGCCGGGCCGGGAGCCGCGGGGTTCGGCGCGGCCCGCACAGCCCCGGTCGGGCCTGGGCCCGGCCCGCCCTCCGCGGCGTTCGGCACCGGGCGGGCTCTGCGCGAGGTCCCAGCTTGGCACCTGCCCCGCGCTCAGGGTGTCCTGCGAAGCGGAGCCGCCGCGGGCCCGGGCCGGGAGAGCAACCCCGGGCCCGGGCGGCGAGCCGAGCCGAGCCGGGCCACTGCAGGCTCTTCTCCCCGTGCGGAGCAGCGCCGCGCCGGGAAGGGCCTCCCAAGTGGCCGGGGAACTCGCGGGGCGCAGGAGGAACATGGGCGACGGCGGGGAGGGCGTGGGGCCGCTGCACCGGGGACACGAGCTCGGAACGGCCCAGCCGCCCCGCAGGCCGCGGCCACGCTCCACCTGCCCGGGAGAAACGCCTCACTGGGACCCTGCTGCCTGTATCGCAACAAGGCGTGGGAGGAGCAGGTCACGGCCACGCGTGGGCCGCGCGGCGAGGTGCCTGCAGCGGCAGCCCCGGCTGACAACGGGCCCCGCGGTGCTCCGGCTCCTCCCGCAGCCCCACGAGGGACAGGAGCGCGGTCCCGCCGCAGCCCCGCGCTCGCCGCCGTGTCCCGCCGGGGCCGTGGGCACCGCCGCGGCGTTTCCGGCGGCACCTGCCTCGCGGCTCCGCTGGGACAGCGGCATTTGGGGCGTTCTGCTCGTTTTGCAGCGCGGGGATCGATCGTGCTCGGTGCCCCCGGACCTGAGGGTTCCCGGGAGCTGCGCGGTCGCGGCTCGTTCCGGAGGGGACTCCGCGAGTCTGGCAAGGCGCGGACCGGGCACGTGCGGGCCGGGCCCCGGGGAGGGGCAGCGTGACCGCCCACGCAACGAGGTTCCCCCCCCATCACCCGGGGTCTCCGTCCCACCCGGGGCCCGCCCGCTCCCCTTGCGCGCTGCTTGGCGCATCCTCCGCGGGGGCGGGCGGCGGCTCCGCGCCCGCATTTCATCCCCCCGGGAGTCCTCCCCAGGGCGCAGCGAAAGGGCCACACTTGCCCCGCGGGCTCTGCCGCCCCCCGCCGGCCGCGCGGCCCGTGGGGCCGTGCTGAGTCACGCGTGGGGCGGGGGCCGGGCTCGCGCGCCCCCCGCGCCGCTCCTCCCCGGCAGCTCTGCGCCAATCCCCCGGCCTCGCGGCTGACGGGCAGCCGGGCCCGGGAGGCGCCGCCTCCCTGACGTCTCGCCCCGGGATTTGCACGGGCTGCGGGGCCGCGGCCGCCGCCGCTCAGTGTGTGTCGGGCGGGCGGCGCGGAGCTGGCGGAGCCGCGGTCGGTTCGGCTGCAGCGGGCGGCGCGGCCCCTCCCGGCTGCGGCATGGAGCTGCCGGCCGTGGGCGAGCACGTCTTCGCCGTGGAGAGCATCGAGAAGAAGCGGATCCGCAAGGTGAGGCTGCGCTCGGCGGCGGGCACGGCGGCGGGCACGGCACGGCACGGCTCGGCGCGGCTCACGCCGTCTCTTTGCTCCGCGCAGGGCAGAGTGGAGTACCTGGTCAAATGGAGAGGCTGGTCGCCCAAGTGAGTACGGAGCGGCACCGGGCGGGCGGGCCGGCCCGGGCAGCGCCGCCGCCCTCGCCGCCGCCGCCTGCACCGCGGAAAGCCCCGGCGGGGGCTGCGGGCCGGGGGGGCCGGGCGGCGGAGCCCGGTGGCGGCGGAGCGCGGCAGGCAGGCGGCGGCTGATGTGCACCAGAAAATGGCTCCTTCCCCCTTTCCCTCCTCGGGAGCCGGGCTCCATATTGCAGAACCGAGCGGGGGGGGGGGGGGGAGGAAAAGCGCGGGGGGGGAAAGGGGGATAATTACAAAATTAAAGCGCGCGGCCCCTGCCGCCCGCAGCCTGCCCGGCGCGGTGCCCAGCGCGCCTCCCGCCGCCGCGGAGCACCGGCCGCTGCGGCGGGGCGGCTGCTCGGGCTGCCCGCGGTTTGGGGCTTAGATGACAGTGCCCGCTGGCGGGGGGGGCGGGGGAGGGGGCCGCCCGGGCCTCCGGACGGCGCTGCGGGTCCCTCCTCCGCGCCGGAGCGGCTCTAATGGGTCCAGGAAAGGGGATTTGGAAAATTTCATCATGACATGCTTAGAATTCCTCCGGAATAATAACTGCGCTAAATAAACAGTTCCGTCCCCGTGCCCCCCTCCCCCTCCGCCCATCCCCCTCCCCGGGGACCGGTGCCCTGCACGCGGACTCCGATACGGGCCCCATGTGCCAGGTCGGGAAACTGCCCCCAGCGGGCGCGGGCCGGGGGCACCCCCCGCCCGGACACCCCGGGCCTGCCGCGGGGAAGGGGAAGGGGGAGGGGGAGGAACCCGCCGCCTGACGGCTCCTCTCCCTCCCTCCCGCAAGGTATAACACGTGGGAACCGGAGGAGAACATCCTGGACCCCCGGCTGCTGATCGCCTTCCAGAACAGGTGAGCGGCGGCTCCGCGGCGCGGGAGGAGCGCGGCGCGGGAC